TACATGAATCCAATAGAACACACAATCCATAAACACCAAATACATGAAATGACTGCCCTTTGGAGAAAACTAGATGTTTATGCCACAAAATAAGCTCCTGATAGAATATAAATTAAAAGGTGTTAATATACAAACTGACAAAACTACCAGAAGATAACATAAATGCTTATTTACACAGGTACCTTTTTATGTTGACAACTAAGAAGCTCAGAAGCAAGCACTCTGAAGGTTAATTTAGCAAAACAAAAATTAAATAACCCTGAATATGAGAAAAAATAAAAGGCAGCATACACATAAAATATTTACTACACATGTATGTTCATGTGTGAATACATATTAGATTTAAAATTCTTCATTTTATAGAAAATTCACTCAACAAAAAACCCTCTGATTTAAAATTGGGCATTAAATTAGAGATCTAAATTGCATATCTAAAAAAGTACTTTGTTTCTAATTTAAAATTAGGCAAATTACTTAAGATCTGCAGGTGACCCATGCACACAGGGGACAGTATTGTTTTCCTGGTCAGAGAAGGCATTTAAGTTGAAAGAGGAATCAATACTGTTTTCTATTCATAAAGTTTGTGACGATAAAGAGCAATGATATTTATACTGCTCCTTAAAGTTTAAGTTGCAGATGATGTTTCAAATAGATAATTTGATGGTAAGTACCATATTAAAAAATTATATATGCCCATTAGTGATCAATTCAATTATACTGAAATATTTTTAGAAAATAATGAAACATACAATTTCTTTTCTGAGCACGGCTTAAAATCTCAATGTATTAAGAAGAATTCATAGATTGGCTCTTATAAATGCATTTCAGTGAATTTATAGCATGGGATAATATGTGAACACTGAAGGTAGAAAAACATACACAAATATGTTGATATTTAAAAATGTATTTTGGTGTTCAAATGAGAGTAAAGCTCAGTTTGATTATACATACACACAGACTATATGTATTACATGTATGTATATTGTGTTATCTGAAATTATGTGCAAAATATAAAATTTGTTATTCAGGGCATTTGTTTTAATATAAAATGTAATTTCTTTGTATTATCTTTGATTTCTGCGTTGAGAAAACAATCATAATTGTACCATTTTACTTAAAATGTTGTCTTTGTTAAGTAGTAGTAATAATTATAATATCTACCAATTACCGAGCTGTTGCATGTGCTAGGAACTCTTTGAAATACTTTGCATAGATTCTCATTGAGGCATTATCGTGATGTCCTGTGAGATAACTGCTGTATTCATTCTCACTTTATTGATGAGAAGATTGAGGCACAGAAAGGCTAAGTAATAGCTAGTAAGTGAAAGACCTTAAAGTAATATTCAAGCCCAAGTTGGACTGAATCCAAAGGCCAAGTTCCTTCTATTCAAATAGGCCACTCTTGGATTAATGTATTGAGTTATAAGATCGAGTGAACATTGTACTTTCTGCAGCAGAAAATTAAATATTTGTTTTGAAGGCAGAGAAAGAGCATGGTATTTAATGTTTACAATTACATAAATCATTGTATGTTTTGAGACAGTGGACTAAAATTTCTTAAAAGGTCCTCTCACTCTCATAGGACTGCTCTCCACTTGGCCTGTGCCTACGGCCATGAGAAAGTAGTAACATTACTGGTAGACATGAAGTGCTTGCTTGACATCTGTGACGGCGAAAACAGGACACCTCTGATGAAGGTAAATAGTAGCCAGTGCTTTCAGCAGGAGATGGATTTGGTTGAAATACATAGAATGAAAATGGACCTATCTCATTGAAATACAGCTAGTTTGTGAAACTGGAGAAATATTTATTTTGATTTCCTATAATTTAAAATTTTCTTCTTGCTTTAATACTAACAGGCTCTACAATGCCGGAGGGAAGCTTGTGCAAACATTCTGATAGATTCTGGTGCTGATCCAACTATCGTAGATGTGTATGGCAACACGGCGCTCCACTATGCAGTTTACAGTGAGAGTTTGTCAGTCGTGGCAAAACTGCTGTCCCATGGTGCAGACATTGAAGTGAAAAACAAGGTAGACATTAACCAATGATATTTTCAAAATATTTGAAATCCATTTGTTTTAACATTAACATATGTAAGTGCTTTTATATTTAAAGGTTGAAACTGCTTGAATGAAAATAGTTTGAAAGAATTGTCTATGTGTTCTTTGAGTTTATATCATGAATGTGGTGACTTTAAAAAAATAAAAAATAAAAAAATAAGAATTGTCTAAGATTTTACTTTAAACATTAATATTTTTACAAGAACTATTAGAGAGTATGGCTTTTCTGTGCACTTATGATAAACGTTTGAATTCATTAAAGGTAAAACTTTTTAGAGTATTCTTCCCCATCCAAGTTGTTTTTTCTTTCCAATTAGTGTAAAACTACAGGAAAGCAAAATTTGACTGGATAAATTGAGTCAACATGTAAAATTTAGGAGACATGCAGAAATCTGAATTTCCTCTTAAAGGTTTGAATCTGGTGTCTCTCGTGCCCATATGACTGTTTGGTATGCTATGAAGAGGTTCTAGCTTTACACAAAGCATATGTTTTCCAGTTTGCTACTGTGCCCACCTAGGTACATGATGTACTCAAGTTACCTCCTCTGCCTCTATCAATATTTCAGGTATCAATTCCTCTCTCATAATATATTTTGTTAAAGATTTCAAGGTATTCAAGACAGTTGATAGGTGTTTGTAATATATAGTTTATATTCTACATTAATTCATTAATAATGCTGTTGACTTCTAGAATTTAGATTTCTAAACAAAGATTTTTCTTTATATAAACCATAAACCATAAACAATTATCTTTAACTTGAATGCCTTTAAGCCTTTTTAGATCAATCATGTTTATATTTGCATAGGTTATGCATTTTGCAGAAAATATTATATCTTTCTTCTCAGAATTGTCCCTTAAAACTCAAGTGATTCAGCGGCTTCTATTATGCTAATTCATATGGATGAGTTAGAACTTTCATTAATGAGCCATTTTATTCATATTTCTGATATTTTGCCAAAAAATAAGTAGCAATTATAATACAAACCAGAATAAAAATGGATTATTGCATTTAAGAAGTAGATATGCATTAGGATCCTAAGATTATCATTAGAATTGAGAACAAACTTTTATACTGAATTTCTAATAGCTGAGATAAAATTCTATTGTCTTATAATACAAGAAATTCCATGAACCATTTAATAATAAGCAATCAAAATTCATTTGAAGCCGATCTATTTTAATTAGAGCCCACTTCCTTACTGACTCATTTAGAGCAGGAGTGCCTGACATTGGCATCTGGGATCTTGGGATCATTGATCAAAGAGAATCAAGTGAGTTTGTATCACCCAGAGGAGACCTCCATTTCTCTTGGGAAGCTTTCAAAACTGGATTCTTGAAATTCTAATTTGTCAAATGTTAATGTTTGCCAAAAAGGTATATATTGTCAAATAAGGGGTAGGCAAATTTCAAGTCATTTCTTGAATAATGGATATTTAATTCACAGTTTTATGATATTTCTTGAACTTAGATAATGTTGAAATCTGTTGAGGTACAGTGCTTCTGGTGAGCTAATTATTCCTTGGAATACAGTTTAAGAAACACTGCTCTGCAAGTGATAATTTAGATTACTAATTTAATTTTAAAAAACCAAAGTCTTTACTACTATGTCTTAGTGTTTAAGGCTATAGAGATAAAAGATACAGCCCCACACCCTCAAGAAACTCTTGGTTTAAATGGGAAACAAATCATTGCAATATAATGTTTTTTGAGATATTCAGAGTTAATGTGGTGATGCAGAGGCTGAATGTTTCCAAGGGAAGGGGCAGTGGATGGGAAAGCACAGAAAAGGGAGAAGTAGGAACTGCTATTGATTTACTTCCTATTTTATGTGTTTAAGTTCACAGGATATTATATAAGGTATTCAGTTCAGCTGAGAAATATGTAATTTCATGAATTATAAATTGTTTTTACTGTTTTGCAGGCTGGCCTCACACCACTTTTACTGGCCATAACAAAAAGAAGCGAGCAAATTGTGGAATTTTTACTGACAAAAAATGCAAATGCAAATGCAGTTAATAACGTTACATGGTATAGTAGTTCTTCTTTTTTTTTTAATTAAAAACAGTTGAGTAGTGTTCTAGAGTAATTACTCTCAAGTCAGAAATATTAAATTGATAATATTTACTTAAAATTATTAGATTATAGTGAAAAATATCAACACAAAGTATCAGGAAGAAAAGTAATTATTTGGACTGACCAAAATAAGGAACAGCATATAGTAGGATTTATCTTCTCTTATTATATTGGCTGATTCTTATTTGTAATCTGATGTTTTTGGTTGAATTATCTTCTATTAGCTAAAGTGGTTCAGTATTAGTTTTAAAAAGTATGAACTTTTCTGGTTTTTAATTTAACATTGAATGATTAACACTTTCATAATATTTTTCTAACTTCTGTTTTTATACACTTTTTTTAAAAATGCAATATCTGTTGGGCATGGTAGCTCTTACCTGTTATCCTAGCAATTTGGGAGGCCAAGGTGGGTAGATCATTTGAAGCCAGGAGTTTGAGACCAGCCTAGCCAACACGGTGAAATCCCATCTCTACGAAAAATACAAAAGTCAGCTGCACATGGTGGCACATGTTTGTAGTCCCAGCTACTCGGGAGGTTGAGGCAGGAGAATCGCTTAAACCCAGGAGGCAGAGGTTGCAGTGAGCTGAGATTGTACCATTGCATTCCAGCCTGGGTAACAGAGCAAGACTCTGTCTCAAAAAAAAAAAAAAAAAAAGCAATATCAATCAAAAGTAGGAGTTTAAAATCATTTTGTCTTTAGGATGACTGTTTGCTTTAGGTTGTTTTCTTTGAAGAATGTTAATGTTAGGTTATCCCTACATGGCTATTCATTGGTATCACCAGATACTGTGAATTTATGATTATTCCCCTTTTTATTCATAGTGTATTTTTATTTTTAATTTGTATGGGTACAGGGAAAAATACAGGTATTTTAAATTTGTATGGGTACAATTAAACAATTTGTTTCATTAAACAATTTGTTTAATTGGATTAACATTTTAGTTAATGAAGATAAGCCATAGGTGAGTGATGAAGACAAAAGGGATAGACTTTTGATTCACACAAGACTAGGTTTAATTTCCTCACTTGAAAGGTGTGAATTTGCAAACATTACTTAATACCAAGTATGATTTTCTATATGAAAAGGAGAACATGTCCTTTAAGGACCATTGTGTAGAAATAACATTATGAATATCAACATCATTTAACTCACTGTCTCATACATTCTTATCAGCATCATTAACTGAACATATTATGACTACTACTGATATCATTATCCCTAATACTGTTTTAAGCCTTCAGATTGCTTTCAGTTGTCTGACTTCTAGCTGACTTTGAAGTACAAAATATTATATCAGACTAAGGAAGAATTAGATAATTCTTCACTTAAATCTGTGCCTCTTTTAGATTACTGAACAGACCTTTTTTTGCCTCTCAAAGCACTTTATGTTAGCCACTTCTAGTATGCCATATCCCAGTGGGACACGAATCTTTTTGCCCCTTCCTTTTAGCCTTGGTGGTGATTTACTAGGATGAACACTTGAGCACTCAAGATACTTATGTTTGTTAGTATTACGTAAATGGTTAATTCTACACTGACAGACAAATATTAAAACGGTTCTGTTCCTAATAATGAAGTTATTTCTTTGTTATTTTAGCACAGCCCTCATGCTTGCAGTATGTCATGGGTCATCAGAGATAGTCGGCAGGTTTCTTCAGCAAAATGTTGACATCTATGCTGAAGATATGCTTGGAATGACTGCAGAACGTTACGCTGTCGCTTGTGGATTTGATAAGTAAGTGTTTACATTTAAAGGCTAGGTGAAATTTCATAGTTTGTTTGAGATAATTTTTGGAAGACAGTGAGTTAGTTCATTCATAAAGAAAGTAGGCAAAAAGCTAGACTAGTTAGAAGGAGTAATGGGGCCAGGATTGTTTCTTTTAGGATTTTCAACAACTCTGTCCCTAGGGATCCTATTGCTGTCTATTTGATTTGAAGTGTAATGCCTGTGTGTGGGATAAACATAGTGTCACAATTTTGATTTTTCTAATTAGTTATTTGGGTCTTGAAATGTCCACTTTAGCAGAAAACCTGAGAGTGTCACCTGGGGTCTGTCTTTCATACCTTCACCCTTGAATTTTTAAAAAGAATTTAAGGGGTTCTCTAAGTCCAAGGAAGACACTCCTTTTGTACAAGTCAGAAGGCCTCGGGGAAATTGCCATTCTCTTCATTTTGTTGTTTCCATTGATCGTGTTGCTGCATTGTTGCCATTGAATCATGACCTGCAGTCTGGTAATGATTGATCTTGGTGACCAGGATGCCCTTACTAATGATCCCTCAGTCTTCATGGTGATCCATATTTGGACTTCAAAGTTATTACAGTCTTTAAAAGCTTATTACATACATTTTCTCAGCCATTGTTTCCAAAGCGCCAGCACCCTGCTCTGGCAGCTAGGACTTTTAGCTTTAGCCACACGCATAGTGAGCAAATTGACCCTTCTTCTCATACTCACAAGCTGATGTGAAACCCACATCTTAGTCTTGACTTAGCCTAGACCTTCATGGTAAGTAATCCTTTGAGTGGCTTTACCTCTATTTTCTCTAGCAAATATTAGTTGTGATAGTTAGAAACTGTAAGTCAGGTTGAAATAATGCTATAGGAAGAAATTAGAGACCCATTTGGTCTTTGTTACCAGATCTATATCCCTGGCCCTTTGGATCCTGTGTAGCACCATTTTGTAGATAGTGGAGGAAGGTCTCATCTTGTTCTGGAAGATTCCACGTCATCTTTCCCCAGTTGTAGTGGGTTCCAACTTGTGGTTGTCCCCTCAAGTGATTCTTTTTTCCTAAAAGTAAAAATCTCCCATGCTACTTGTATCTCTACCTTGAGTTTTAAAACTATTTTTAAAATCCTGCATTACCATGAAGCTATTCAATAGATTTCACTAAATCTCAAGTAACTTAGTTAGATTTAACAGAGCTGAGCCTCATCTGATTAGTCTTCATGTACAAAAGTAGGCATTTGTGCTGGCTTCAATGGTACACAAACCAAAACTGAAACAACATCAAGAAAATCAGCATGATCCCTGCACAAGGATGACACACAAATCTGTGCAGTGTTGCATATTTCTTGCAGTCCCCAAAAGGACATTTGACTACTTTCTAACTAGCTCCAAGAAAATGATGTGAGTCAAAGCAAAATGGGTAACACCCAGTACTGCAATGGTGATTTTCACACAAAAAGTATTTATGTAAGGTGATCTATGAAATGAGATGATGGTGAGTAACACATAGGATCTTGTGTGCAATATGTTGTTACTAAGCATCTTGGAAATGAGAAAATACCAACTTTCATCTTCTTTGCAGAACTTACAAAACATAAAGGTAGGGTTTTGTCTTCCATGGCAGCTGGAAATGAACACGTGACTAACAAAGATTTGTTGTTTCAGAGTTTAAGGAGGTAGATAAAGGGTAATAGTAGTCCAAGCCAGATGCTGACATCTATTAGTTTTCTCCCTTTAGTGTGATTGATGAGCTTAGTAATAGAGGATAATCAGGTTATCTAGTTTAATGAATTAATATATTTATAAATAAATTTCCTTACAAATTTTAAAATAGCTTAGATGCCCTGAATTACAAGCCACAAAGAATAGAACATCTAATAACCAAAAGTATGAATTAATAATGGAAAACTGCAACATTTGAACATTGTAACCTATGAAGAAACACTTTTTTAATAATTTGTTTATTTTTTATGGAGATAGTGTCTCCCTATGTTGCCCAGGCTCATCTTGAACTTCTGGGCTCAAGCAATCTTCCTCTTACAGTATCCCAAAGTGCTTGCATAAGGCATGAGCCACTGCACCAGGCCAATACATTGGGTTTTATTGAGAATTTAAAAATAGTTTTAGCAATATGTTCAACAAATTATTTCATTGCTTCACCATTTCTTTGAGCATTTAAAACTGTTATCTTGTTAAATCTTTATAATAACCTAGTGAAATAAAGCTCTAAAATCCTTATTTTTAGACCACCTTGAGCCTAAGAGAAGCAAATTATTTAAAAAAAAAATACCTGTTTGTTACTGTGCTAGGACTTATTCTGAGTTAAGGGCATTTTTTATTATGCCAAGGTAACTCTAGTTAATTTACTGAGTTATACTGCCCTCAATTCATGAGCATTTCATCTTACTTTCTTCTTTAAGCTTTCTTCTCTATGAAGTGTAATAAGTTCATAGAGGTTACAAACTCTAGATCTATGGAATAAATAATATTGGGATGTTAGCTTTGATATTGTCTGAAATATTCTAAGAACTTAATAAATTTGGTAAATGTTTTTTATATTACTGTTAAAATAATAATTTTATTTATTTCATTTTTATACATAGCATTCATCAACAACTTTTGGAATATATGCAAAAGATATCTAAAAATCCTCAAAATAGCAATCCAGGTAAGATTCCTGATAAAAGTGCTCTTGGTGGGGGCATGATAAGATTATGAAAGTGTTGATCACAAAAGAGAAATTTAAAAAGCAATGTGTAAATAGCATGTGTTTACACATATATGTATGTGTATGTATATACATATAGCTTTGATTTTAGTTTATAATTCATTAGTTAA